AAGGCGTTCTCGACCGATCCGGCCCTCGCTCAGGCCCCAGGATTCCTCAGTTCGTTTTGGTGTGGCGTGGTTCGTCTTCTTGGAGCGGAGGCGCACGGGGTGTGGGTGTGGGTGTTCTTGCGACATTTCGGTCGGTTCTTGGTGGCCGAGCTGAGCCTTTTTCCTCCTCCGCGCGATTCGGCCGGGCCTTAGAGGGGGTTTGATGGTGGCGAGGATGATGCGGTGGCCGCGGCCGTCGCAGGCGCGCAAGTTCCGCGTCCGGCTGGTGGTGCGGCGGGCGGAGGGGCTGCCGCCGCCTCCGCCGTCCGTGGAGGCCGCGGAGCAGGAGCAGAGGGTCGCGGCGGATGTCAGGTGGAAGGGCCCGAGGGCGTCCGGCCTCGGTTCGCTGCGGCGCGCGGTGCGGCGCAACCGCACCAGGGGCGAGGAGCTGGGCGGCGGCGCCGTCGCGTGGGAGGAGGGGTTCGAGAGCGCCGTCACGCTCGCGGCCGCCTCTCACCGGGAGGCCGCCGCTTTCCAGCCGTGGGAGCTCGCCTTCACCGTCTTCACCGTGAGCATCTCCTCCTCTCCTCTCCTCTCCTTGCTGGAACTGGATTCCATTCTCTTCCCTTGATTGTTAGCTCGGACAAATACTGTTTTAGTATGGGTCTTAACTCTTTTATCTGCGTTTGCTTGCATCATATTTTTGTTTGACTTTTTCTTGAAAGGGATTTGCGTGATTTAAATCCTTTTGAGGTGATTTTGTTCTGAATTATGTTCCTATTTAACAAGTACACTCCCTAGACACTCCTTATTAATGTCGCGATCTGTTAATTATCTCATCCTTGGAGTAAAATTATTATTTTTCAGTTGCTTGAACGACTATCTGTAGTTGGTGGATGTCAATGGATCAATCATAGCCGGCAACTGTATTCCTGTTAATATGGAGCAAAATCTGATAGTAACATTACACCTTATGAAAGATATGGAGTATTATGTTTACCAGTAACGATAGCTACAGTTGCTTTTCTATGTGACCATAGTATCATGTTTCCTGCTCTCAAATAACCCCTTCCAGAATGAATTTATATTATAGCCTTGTGATCGACTTGAATTTCACGATTACAAGTTCATAACCCTGGACACCATCCCATTTTTGGGCGTCATGAACAATTGCAAATCATCCTTAGCAAGTTGGCATATTTTCTTTTGAGTGATTTCTTACAGCCAGTTTGTTTGAGTGACTTCAGCAGGGAATCTGATCTGCCTTGTTCTTTCTTTTCCTCGTGGCAGGATGTGAACAAAGGCCCGAAGACTAAACCAACAATTCTGGGAACTGCTTCCCTTAGCCTAGCAGATTATGCATCAGCAGCCGAAGAGGATATTGAGATAATTCTCCCATTATCTGTGCCCTGTGGTGCGCCCGAGTCTGCTCCGTCGCTTCATGTGAGTTTTTGATGTGAAGAACAAGCTCTAGCTAATGATTCTCGTTTTGGAGCGTAAAACAGAAAAGCTCGTTTTAATTGCCACCGGGTGTGACTGACATCCTCTTTTTCATTGCAGCTCACTCTGAGTATGGTGGAACTGAGAGCTCTTCAAGAAACCCCTGGTGCTTCGCAACGGTCTGCTGCGGCCACTCCGTTGTCCCCGTCATCTTGTGATTCTGTCCCTGGAGGAAAAGATGAGGTTTCAGTCATTAAAGCAGGGCTAAGAAAGGTAAAAATCCTCAGGCATATCGTGTCGGCTCGAAGGTCCAAGAAGACGTTCCAAAGCGATGAAGGCAGCGAAGATAATTGCTATATTCACAGTGATGGTACTGAATATCCGTATGGTACCGAGCCTGTCGATGAAGATCTTGTTGATAGAACACATGAAGATGAAGTTGCGGATTCAACTATCAGGAAGTCGTTCAGTTATGGCTCACTGCAGTCTGTCAACCATGTTGGTGACCATGAGGACTGGGTCTATTACAGTAACCGGAAATCTGATGCCGGTTACCATGTAGATGAACCACAGTCATCAACTGCTGAGGGAACTGTTTTGCCAACTGCAAAACGGAGTATCCTTCCTTGGAGAAAGAGGAAACTGGGTTTACGGTCACTAAAGGCTAAAGGTGAACCTCTGTTGAAGAGAGCAAATGGAGAAGAGGGAGGTGATGATATTGACCATGATCGTCGGCTGCTAACCTCTTCCGATGGATCAGAGGTAAAATTTCCTTTGTCTTTTCATTGCGTTTAAAAAAATAGTCAGCATCCTGTTCTTAGCCGAGAGGCCTTGTTTGTATACCACAGAACAGTTTGTCAATGTCCATGATGTTTGCTGAACAATATTTCTTTCAATTGCAGCGATCAAGAAGTGAAGATGGGTCAGTTCATGGTATGATGTCAGAATTTGGCGATGACAATTTTGTTGTGGGGAACTGGGAATCAAAGGAGGTACTTAGCCGTGATGGTCATATGAGGCTTTCTTCCCAGGTGTTCTTTGCGTCAATAGACCAGAGAAGTGAGCGGGCTGCTGGGGCGAGTGCATGCACGTCACTTGTGGCTGTCATTGCAGACTGGTTCCAGGCAAATCAGAATCTGATGCCTATCCAGTCGCAGTTTGATAACCTGATCCGAGAAGGATCACTAGAGTGGAGAAACCTTTGCGAGAACAAGACATACCGAGAGCGCTTCCCTGACAAGCACTTTGATCTTGAAACTGTCCTTGATGCCAAGACCCGGCCACTCACGGTCTCCCCCAGCAAGTCATTTATCGGATTCTTCGTACCCGAAGGCGCTGATGACATGGGAGGACTTGACTTCCTCAATGGTGCAATGTCCTTTGATAACATCTGGGAGGAGATCAGCCAGGCAGCAGAGTACTCATCCAGTGACAACCCTAACCTGTACATAGTGAGCTGGAATGACCATTTCTTTCTCCTCAAGGTTGAGCGTGATGCATATTACATCATCGACACCCTTGGAGAAAGGTTCTACGAAGGATGCAGCCAGGCCCACATTTTGAAATTTGACGACACCACCATGATTCACAAGGTGTCCGGCGAGAAGAAGGCGCAACCTAGCCCCGACTCAAGCGGGCCGCTGAAGGGTTCTTCAAGGAGCTCCTCATCGGGGCAGGACAGCGAAGACGACGACGTCGAAGAGAACATACTCGTGTCGAAGGGCAAGGAGTCGTGCAAAGAGTACATCAAGAGCTTCCTAGCGGCCATACCGATCAGGGAGCTGCAGGGGGACATCAAGAGGGGAACGGTGGCATCGACACCGCTGCACCACCGCCTCCAGATCGAGTTCCACTACACCGAGGCGGTCCCGGCAGAGGTTGCCCCGCCGCCTCAGGCCCTCGCCATCGAAGCCCCGTTCGAGTTCTTGTGGCCCGAGCCACCGCCGGCGATGGAGCTCGCCCTAGCACCGGCG